CCAAAACCCCAAAACCCCAAAACCCCGTGTTTTTTAGTTATTGTTATTTGAAGAATTATGAAATCAAAATAAATTCAAATTAAATGATTGATTTTATTGATTGGATCAATTATTTTAATGATGATTGTCTGGTTCTTTTTATTTCCTTTGCTAAATTATATATTGAACTCGAAAGTTCAGATCATCATTAATTTCTTAACGTATTTTATTTTTTTATTCCAAATACTTATCTAAAACATCTACATTATTATCTTAGAGGGATGGTATTTCATCCGAATCGTTGTCATAATCTTATTATTCTAAGGTTTATAATTGACCTTCTGAATTTAGTTAGTCTAGTTGCAGTTTAATTCCTTAATAGATTTTGAAAGGGTCTCTAAATGCAAGACTAGCTTTTTTATTATGCTAAATGTTTTAAATATCTCTATTGGAAGATTATTTCTTACTCTTTTTCTTCTTTTTGACCTTTAAATTTCTTTTAAAATGTTCAACAGGGCTTAAATCTGGATTTTCATTATTAATTTAGCTAATTTTAAATTCCATAGATCCAAAACCATCTGAATTGTTTAAATCTTGCTTTACTTACTATCTAGCTGCTTATTGCTAGATTTCATTGATCTCTTTTCTCTGTTTAACATATAGATGTTTAGTTATTCTGGGAATGGCCTATTGTTCAAGCTGTTTTAATTGCTCAATAGGGCTAAGACTTTCAACTAAAAAATTATTTTATCGTTTTTTTACTCCTCCAAGATCTTTTCTAAGTTATTCTATAGTATCATCTTTTGAAATATTCATTGTAGTATCATTGATTTCAAATTATTCATTCTTTGTAGATAGACTTATAATATTGTCATCATAGTTATCGAAGTTTGCTTTATATTTTTTATATATCCTGGAGAATTTGAAATTCTTAATTTTTTAAGCCATTTCTTTAACCTTTACTTTGAGTTTCAGAAAAGTTTCATAAAGCATAATGCCCATATTAACAGCTATGTTGAGAACAGTGATACTAATTATTGAAGTACCAAAATTATCTCTAATTTCATCTTCACTAACATAGTCAGTAAAAATGATCAAGTGATAAGCAACAGTTAAAATGCAAAGTTCATTAAACTACTCCAGTCTGTTAAGAAATTTTGTCTAAAATGGTTAAAATATCCCTATAGTATGTAAGCAGTAAAAATAATTACCTATATAAATAAATAGAAAGATGCATTGGTAAAATAACGTTAATATTTGTAGATAAGGATATTCTGTGACTAATACACAAGCAAAAGCAAATAAAAGCCTTCTTAATACAAAGAAAACATTGTAGAGCAGAGCTTATTTATCATCAACTTTTAATTAATCATATAAAGAACCAAATCTATCTTTAAACTCCTTCTCTTTGAGAATTTTGTAATTGATATTAAGAAATGCCATTATAAACAAAGGAAAGCCAAGACTAAGAATCAATAATCCAATAGCTAATACTGAAGAAAATTTATCACTAGGGGTATCATATTTTAGCTAAAAGGGATCTTTAATAGATTAGATAAAATCTTACCTAAACAATATTTATTAGTGAGTTTATGCTAAATTCTAAATATCCCTCAAGCACGAACCTAATAAGCAAATTAAAGAATATCAATCGCCCAATAAAATTATAGATAGCCTTTATTCTTTAGAATTTTCTTCCGAATAATTTGAGAATCATCAGAATAATAATAATTGCTGCAAAAATTACCAACATATAGAACAAACTTCCTAAATTTTAAACTACATTTTCATTATTATAGCTTGATTTAGTTAATATATCCTTCAAAAGCATAATTCTTAAAAGATATCTAAATCAGCAAATCTATCATTTAAAGGCTATTCCTCTCTAAAATAAAATATCTAAGCATCAATCGTATATGTTGGTAGGATATCAAATTATGATATGGAAATGATTAGTATGTAGAGTAATTTAGCTTATTCAGGAAAATTGATTGTAAAAAGAGGTAAGTGAGAAATTATCTGGATTACATTGATCATTCCCCAAAGATACTGTAAAGATGCAGACCTGTATTTGTAATAAATAAATTTTAATTGCTTACATTAAAATATTAACAGCGAAATTGCTTATCATTATTGATTTCAAAGATGTTGAAGCTGAGCCTAATTGCCCTTATTAATAACTTAGCTCTAATAAAGAATTAAATTTAGAAACTCATACTTATTGTGTATTTTGGTAATTTTTATGAAATTCTATATTCATTAGGCATGGGTAAATTTGAACTTTTTTCCAAAAACTTCCCATTTTAAAGAAAGATTATCTGTAAAATATCATTTCCCTAAATATTGTTATAAATAGAAATTTACATTTTAAGATATTTATTATGGGTTTGTGTAATTTAATTATATCCAAAGATCTGTGCTATTGAATAATGTAGTTTTCCAAGTGAATTAGGAACTTAAATCACTTAATTATGAAGCTGGAATAATCTTAATTCTTATGACTGATTAATCTATTTTTTAGTTATTTTCATTAATGATTATTTCAGTTGTAAAATGTATTTTAACCAGTCCAGAATTTTGTATTTAACTTATTTTTGGCACCAATGTCGGGGAAAATCCAGACTTAATTACTTTAGTGGGAGTTTTTCCTACGAAAGAAAAATTATAGGCTAAATCATCACTTAGTACATCAAGCTCAAGTGTATATTTTGAACTCTTTGGAATTTTATTTTTATCTGCTAATACTATCTTAATTAAATATGTACCATTGGCATTGCTGCCAGGATTGAATTTAAATGTTGGATATTTGTAAGTTGTAAATGGATAGGATGATCCAAGGTCTACATTTATAGTAAATTAATCATTATCAGGGTCAGTAATCGTAGGTAAATTAAATTCTCTACTTGTACCAACAAGCATATAAATTCTCTGTAAAACTTGATCTAGAACTGGAGGACCTGTGTTTGTGCTTTAGTACTTACTAGAAACGACTAATAACTTAAAGTATGTGACACCATTGTATTGATACCCATAACTTGCGGGTTTATTTACAAAACCTCTTAGTCTGATAGTATAACTTTTTGCGTCACTATCCTTCTTTGTGTTAACATAGAACTTCCTCATCTATTCATCAAATGAAACAAAAGTGGGCAAATTAGATTTAAATTCTTCACTTGCTAAATAATTGATCTAATATGGACAATTAGGGGTTTTTACGAAATCCTTGAATTCGAATGATATTAAAGGGTCTCCTACTGAATACGATTAGTTTTAAATTATAGAAATGTTGAATTTTCTAACAAGGCATCTAATTTAAACATAGAAGTCTGATTAATTTGAGCTAGATGCATAAGATTATAATTTACCGCTTACTCAGAAATGGTAATTACCTTCATCTGCTATATCATCAGTGTGAATCGTTAATATCTAAGTCACAAAGTCGTATTGAATCGATGAAGGTAGAGGATTATGAACTCCATTTTTCATCCAAAGCCAAATGAATTTAAATGTTGAGCAGTCCCAGCCTTGGAAAACTTTCCAGGTATTTGATATGTTAAATAAAAGTGGACCGTCAGAAATATTGTAGATCAATGGTGATGGCTATTGATACGGTATAATAATGCTATTTTTACAATCGTATATCTATATAAGTAGCCTTGCTTAAGCATATGAATTAGTCAAGTTGCCATATTTATAAAATGCTTCTAAAGTCACATTATATTCTCATCCAGTAGTTACTGAATCAGTGTTAATTATAATCTTGTAAGGATTAGTTAAATTATTATAGGTCACCAATGATGGAATAACAACATTTCCAGTTGCTGGATCAAATAGTTAAATAACTGTCTCACAATAATCATGTCCAAAACTGAAATTCTAGAAAACATACTCTTAACTACCATTCAATTATCTAAACATTACAATGCTATCTTGAACTGGAGCAGTTATCGAAGCATTTAAACAGGGATTTTTTACATTTATCTAGTAAACATATTCTTGAAGCTAACTAGTTTTTTGATTTATAAAAGTCTAGATATGAAAATAGTATGAACGGACATTAGCTTGGTCATCCGTATTGACATGAACATTCAGATCACTATAATTGAATACAATAAAACTTGGTAAAGGATAATCTTATTAGAGCATTGATCCATCTGGATTTAAGACATCAGATTTGTAGTATAATCGAGTTTATGTTGTATAACTTGCATCTGAGCAATAAGGATATGTTTTTGAGATATCGATTGGGAATTTTTTAATACCTGAGTACAAATCATAATCTTTTGATACTTACTTATTCTAGACTAATTAAACCAAATTATTAAGACACCACCCACCTAAATTAAGATTAAGGCTATTTAGTGTATTAGCAGTTAAAGTTCCTCGATTTTGAACTTCGTAAACACTTTTTCCTACGTTTAGGTCAATCAAATTATATTCAAATTTTTTTGCAGTTTTTGCTGTATTAGTTAAAATAGATGGGACGCAAGATTATCCATTATGATAAGACATAAGTGCTCCTGTAACTTATGTATAAGATTTACCAACAAAGTTAATGTACTTTATATCTGCGATGTAGAATGAGTTTAGATGATCAAAAAATATGCTCTTCTTTAATTCATTAGTACCTCCATTGAATGCTCCTAAATCCTATTCAGTAAAAATTGGTGTGTCAGGTTCATAATTTATGATAAGAAATTTGAATTGGCTAAATTAGAGATAAAATACATAAGCATAGAGAAGATTTTAATTTCTAGCATAAACTCCTCTACAATTTGTTAAATCAGTATTCTGTCCAAAGTAATAGGCCTTTGTATCTTATATATTAAACATTTAGTTGTATTTAAGTCTCATGAATAGAGCATTTGAATTATTATACTAAACACAAGTATACATTGTATATGGTTCTGTAAGGGATCCAATGTCGTAATATGCTGATATATCAGATACATAAACATTACTAACCTAATTGACTATTCCTTTCCCAAAATACAAATTAAAATTAGTATTTGCATTGTGATTCAAAATAAAAGGATAACGGACACCAGTAGTAATATTGGTAAGATATCCTACAGTTATTAGCTGCATTGAAAGAGGTGTCTCAAAAAGAATTAAACCCTGAGGCTGAGCTGGCTCACAATTGATATTTATCCTCTCAAAATTAGCCACACTTGGATCATTGATACTGATTCTTACAATTTTTAGTTAGCCTGATACATTACTCCAAGAGAAGTAAATTTTGTTTGCTGTATCTGCTGCAATTTAATAAGAGCCTGCTTGAAAAATCCCAGTTTAAATCCAAAATCCAGCTGTTTAATCACCTGTTTATGCATCTAGAACAATTAATTTTAAATCTGAGCCTGGATCTAAAAAGACTACAATCTTACTATAATCTCTAGTAAATATCATAGCTTGAACATAACTTGACAATTAGATTGATTTTGCCCATCTAAAAATACCATCACTTTAAACTAAAGCTACTATTGGCACTTTTGAATTAGCAATAACATCAGTTGATACAGTTGAGTCGTCAGTATATCCTCCTATGCCTATATTCTTATTAGAGTCCATAGTAATTGCTGTAAAACTAGTAGTTCCTGAATTTCCACCTATTTAGTAAGGAAATATACCATTGAAGCAATATTAGCATAAGCTGTTTTCTGTGAATATGAATAATAATAGTAGTAGTTGGAAAATCATAAGTAGTTATGGATTTTTGTAAAGTACTTATTCTATAGGATTTTTTATTATCATTAAATACTTTTTATATTTTATAATTATATACTGATTAATTTACATTCATTTTTTATTTAAATTATTCCTTATGGGGTTTTGGGGTTTTGGGGTTTTGGGG